AGGGGGGTGTTGAGGAAGGGGGCCAGGTCAGCCCTCCTCATATGGCATTGGGTCCATTAACAAGTGGAACTGCAAGTCGTGTGTTGGGCGCAGGGGCTGTCTGGGAGGGTTGGGGGGGGTGATGGGTAAAGGGGGGGGGGAGGGGGGCGGAGGGGAGGGGGGCAGCAGACGTTGCAAAGGGTAAAGTACATAAAGGAACCCAAGAGGCAGTCGGTAACCAGGGGAGATAATGCCTCTTTTCCTCTGTCGCCTCTCTGCATCTGTCTCCTCTTTTTCAGACTTCCGTTGGCTCCCCCTTCCCCTTGCCCACCCCCTATCCTACCCCCACACTTCCTTCCCCCCCACACCTTCCCCCCCACACCTCCTTCCCCCCCACAACTCCTTCCCCCCCCACACCTCCTTCCCCCCCACACCTCCTCCCCCCCACACCTTCCCCCCCCCCCCACACCTCCTTCCCCCCCCCACACCTCCTTCCCCCCCCACACCTCCTTCCCCCCCACACCTCCTTCCCCCCCACACCTTCCCCCCCACACCTCCTTCCCCCCCCACACCTCCTTCCCCCCCACACCACCTTCCCCCCAACACCTCCTTCCCCCCCACACCTCCTTCCCCCCACACCTCCTTCCCCCCACACACACCTTCCCCCCACACCTCCTTCCCCCCAACACCTCCTTCCCCCACACCTCCTTCCCCCCCACACCTCCTTCCCCCCACACCTTCCCCCCACACCTCCCCCCCACACCTCCCCCCCCATCCCCCCCCCCCACACCTTCCCCCCCCCACCCCCCCCCCCACACCTCCTTCCCCCCCCCACACCTTCCCTCCACACCTTCCCTCCACACCTTCCCCCCCACACCTTCCCCCCACACCTCCCCCCACACCTCCCCCCCCCACACCTTCCCTCCACACCTTCAACCCGGAAATCGTGACCTTTGACCGCTCTGAGCATCAAGAAGGTCTGGTCGTGATTGGGTTTTTGGTGAGAGTAATTGTTTAACACGTTTCTCTAGTTCTTTATATCTTCACATCGTGCGTGGGTTTTTATCACCACCACCTAGTTGTTGTTGTTGCTTTTAGATTCAGCTACTGGGAACAAAAGGTTCCAAGCAGCACGGGCTATGGTGAGCCCGTAAGTGGAGGCTCTCTGGATGATAAAGATTAAGCCACCCAAGAGGTGGCACGGGCATGAATAGCCCGTAAGGGCTCTCTGGGGCCATTATCTGTATAAATAGCTGGAGATCTGGGGATGGGGTCCGTAGACGCGCCAATCCAACCCAAGAGCAGGACTGCAGATGGTGATTGATGAAGATTAAGCCACCTTAAAGGTGGCACGGGCATGAATAGCCCGTAAGTGGTGGCTCTTTAGAGCCATTACCAGTATCACAATGGCTGACATTATCACCAGGCTGTACACAGCTAATGTACAGGCGAGGTACCTTGTACCTCGCCTGTCTGTACTTGTTGGCTGTGTGTGTGAGTGTTCGTGTTTTACTTGTTCACTTGCTCCTCGCCACCGATAGTTCCAGCCCCGCTCCTGTGCCAGGTAACTCCACTACGGGATCACCATAGCCCGTGCTACTTTGGAACTTTTTGTTCCCAGTAGCTGAGTCTATAACAACAACATCCTCGCCACCTGCCACCTCGCCTCCCCTCTCTCCTGCTGTGTCACGACTGTGTTAAGCTTTACGGATCGAAACATTGTCACATATGACCTGGTAATGGTCCGGGAAGGACCGAAACGTCGTCGTTTCTTCATATTGTGTTTGGTGATGATGTCTTGAGCCAAGTTATTGTGACTTATCGTCTACATTGTTTTATTGTTTTCTACCACACACGTGGCCACACATTTACAGTGCTAACCAGCATATATATACATTTTCTTCTGTCCTCCATGGACAGGGTTAGAGATGTGTTAAACATATAGTTCAGGGGTTTATTGAACGTTCATTTGTGATGTGTAGCGTGGGTCATGTTCAGAGCCCCAGGTGTGCTGGGGGGACACTGGAGGATCAACCTCCCTGTGGTGGGGGTCACATTGTTGTCTTCTGACGCCAAAGAAATCTATTTCTGCTGGCTATGGGTCGTGTGGGTGTGGTTTGGCTTCCAGACCGTGACCTCCCGTTGCGGTGGTGCTCATACTGAACAGTTCGCCTTTGTTCTCTGTCAGTAACACGAAGAATAACAAGTGTGGCATATTATGTTGTTATAGATTCAGCTACTCGGAACAGGTTGCAAGTAGCACGGGCTATGGTGAGCCCGTAGTGGACTTACCTGGCACAGGGAAGTGTGGCAGTCATGTCGAAGCCTCACAGGTCGCCAACACTCGTCTCTTTCCTACACGTGACCGTCAGGTGTGAGGTGGACACCGTCTTACTGCATTGTGGGGGTTCTGATGACTAGTACTATTGTTTGTACCAATGATAATCTTCAGTACTTTGAATGTCTCGATCATATCTTCCCTCGATTTAATTTTTAAGGCTAGGGGGGCTCATTGGGAATGTCATTGAGGCTCCTATTGGTGAAACTGAAAGCAAGAGCTGTTACCCTACATCAGCTCTGCCTGACCCTACAGACATTTATTTGACGAGATAATTTTATTTCAGGTGAGAGTTGAGGCACCGTCCTCGCGTGAGCCTCGTAACCCTACCGTCAACATGCTGGCATGAGGCTGGTAACCCTACCGTCAACATGCTGGCATGAGCCTGGTAACCCTACCGTCTGGTAACCCTAACATGCTGGCTGGTAACCCTACCGTCAACATGCTGCCTGGTAACCCTACCGGCTGAGCCTGGTAACCCTACCGTGGGCATGAAATTAGCCTGGTAACCTACCGTCAACATGCTGGCATGAGCCTGGTAACCCTACCGTCAACATGCTGGCATGAGGCTGTGGGGAAATTAGTTGACTGGACTTCCGAATTTTTCTTTTACTCTTTTGAGGTACTGAACCTAAATGTGCCGGCGTGCACGTGTGTCTAGACTACCCGTATATCAGGAGAAAGCACCAAGCTAGTATGATATATATATATATATATATAATCATACTAGCTTGGTGCTTTCTCCTGATAATTACGAATTCAGTCTCTCTCACCGCAGACGTATCGAGGTCTCAGATCCATTGATCTTTCCCCAGTAGTTCGAGGACCACCTTTGTATACCTCTGGATGTGTTCCTGTTTGACTTTGTGAATTCCTTAAGTGAGTGACGGAGGTGTCGGGGGATTCTCCCTGCTGGGGTTGCGGATTTAAGAAGACTGGGTCTCTCATACTTGGGTTGGAGGGTTCCCTGAAATGGTTCCCGCAAGCGTTGCCTGCGTGCGTGTACGTGCGGCTGAGCGTGTACGTGCGGCTGTGCGCGTGCGTGTACGTGCGGCTGTGTGCGTGCGTGTACGTGCGGCTGTGTGCGTGCGTGTACGTGCGGCTGTGCGTGTACGTGCGGCTGAGTGCGTGCGTGTACGTGCGGCTGTGCGCATGCGTGTACGTGCGGCTGTGTGCGTGCGTGTACGTGCGGCTGTGCGCGTGCGTGTACGTGCGGCTGTGTGCGTGCGTGTACGTGCGGCTGTGTGCGTGCGTGTACGTGCGGTTGTGTGCGTGCCTGGTGCTTTTATGTAATGCTACTTGCGTCGCGGTGTTCACAAGCGGAAGACCATGGTTTTCCTTGAGTAAGCTTCGCTGATATCGTCACGCGGGGCTTAGAGAGGGCGGGGCTTAGAGAGGGCAGGGCAGGTGTTTTGGGTCAGTGTTGTGTTATATTGTGTCGCGTTGATGCCTCTGTAGTCTTGAGTTGGGTAGTCCAGCGACCCTGCGTGCGTGCGTGCGCTGTATTTTGTGTGGGGAGGAAGGGCGCCTAATCTTCATGGGTTAAGGGGGTTCAGGGTTCGTGACCCGGACGCCAGGGGTGAGGGGGTCATACTGACCAAATTGTTGGTCGTCACTGCTTATTGACGGCTGAGTCAACTAGGCTGTTTGTGCAGGCCAGTCTATGCACTTCACAGCCTAAATGGAAAGGGTCATTTGATAGCTATGTCTAATTCCGTCTGGCCTGCAAGAGTTAGGTGGTGTAAGTGATCAGTTTGCATTTAAATTATATTATATATATATATATATATATATTATATATATATATATATATATATATATATATATATATATATATATATATATATAATTGATTTCGGAACCAGTCATTCCAATATTTTCTGCCACTGTTCAGTTGTTTTTTCTTCCACAGACGTGGCCACACATTAACAATGCTAACCAGCATATATACATTTTCTTCTGTCCTCCATGGACAGGGTTAGAGATTTGTTAAACATATAGTTCAGGGATTTATTGAACAATCAACCACAGAAGGTGATTGTAGTGCTTTTAAAATGCCAGGCTAAGCTACATACGTAAATACATAAATACACAGATTTACGTATGCCCTACATAAAGTGTTCGATGTGTCTTTTACATAGTGTCATTAATGTGCATTTACAAAGGTGAAATGTAATTCTGATCAGCTTCCACATATACTTTATACACATACATATACATACACACACATATACGTACATACACATATATACATACACATACATATATACATACATATATACACACATACATGCATACATATATTTGTCTCTTTTACTCTGACAGGGTAAGATAGCTGATAGAGAAACTAGTGTGCAATTAAGCACTTAATCACTGAAGGTGATTAAGGTGCTTTTACAAGTTCAGGTTATATAGTTCCTCCTGTTGCCCTGTTCAGTGCTAGTCTAGTTTACCGTTTGGATAACAATGCCTCCTGTTAATGCTGACGCTAGGCCTCGAGTCTGACCCAAGGCCTAGTGTGTGACGCTAGGCCTCGAGTCTGACCCAAGGCCTAGTGTGTGACGCTAGGCCTCGAGTCTGACCCAAGGCCTAGTGTGTGACGCTAGGCCTTGAGTCCGACGCTAGACCTGCAGTATAACCCCAGTTTTGTAATGCCTCTAACCACTGTCTCTTCCACCCTCAGGGTCTCCACGGTTCCGGCGTCGCGTGGAGAGTCAATGGTCGTCGCTGGTGTCCCGCTGGAGGAACATTGGATCGCCGTCACGACATGTCGTCACGCCCACGCCCGACCACGAGGGCCTGGTGGGCGGCGGCGACCGGGTGCACATGATGCGGCCCAAGGACCACCACGCCCACACGCCCACGCCCGCCTCCAGCAGCGGCGGCAGCGGGCCCCTACACGCCCTCCGCAATAAATTGAGTCGTGGCAGGTCGCGGGAAACTCGCGCCATGTCGCTCTGCGAGGTGGACGACGAGTGGGCGCCGCCCAACCGCCAGTGGGTGGACTCGCGGGCGGTGTTGGAGTGGGCGCGACGGTGTGGCGACGAGCACGACGACGAGCAGGACTCTGGCGTCACCGGCAGCGACAACGACGAAGGGTTCCCGCCCGTCAAGTCCTCGTCGTCGTCTGCGTCGTCGTCGTCCAGCGGAGGGTCGTCGTGCCACGACGAGGCCTTTAGCGAGACGTGCAGCGACACGTACGCTGGCAGCGACGGCCAGGGGGACGCCTCGCCTCCTCCCCCCTCCGACGACTACCCCCACACACAAGCTCTCAAACGACACGACTCGAACTCCTCACAACAGCAACAGCAGCAGCAACAACAACAACAGCCTCGCATTGTTGCAGACCACGTCATCAAAATGAACACGCGGGAGCACCCGTCGCCGTCGTCCACGCCGTCTGGAGTGCTGGGACGCCGCTACCAGAAGGCGACACAGCAGCCACAGCCGCCCAAACAGACGCAGCAACGACCGGTCGTGCCCCCGAGACCAGCAGGCGGCCGTACCAGAGTCTCGTCCTGCGTCGATTCCTGTATCTGGGAGGAACCGCTGCCGTTAGACCTCAGAGTCTCCTCTCAGACTCCCGCCCACACCGCCGCCCACACCCCCGCCCACCGCACGAGCACGCTGGACCGCCCTCCCAAACACCAGGGACGCACCTCGCCACCCACGCCCGTCACCATGACCCTAGGGAGAGGGGGCCTGAGGGCGCTGACGGCGGCGACGACAGAGGAACGACGGCGGCTTCAGGGTCTGAGGTCCGCCCCTGAAAAGGCCACCACCCACGAGGGCCCCCAGACGCCGCCCAAGCCGCCCCTTACGCCCACCGCCCACCACAACAAGTCTGCCTCAAGTCAAGACGACGACGACAATGATAAGGTAAGTCGAACCTCGTCTCCAGTTTATGTGGGGTGTCCCGTCACTGTTCTGGTCCCCCCTCCCCCCCCCCCCCGTCACTGTTCTGGTCCCCCGGTCCCCAGCTGTGGGTACGATGGTCAGAGATAGATGTTGACGCAATGTGATTTCTGCCCAGTGCTTTGAATGTCAAAGTAAAGGAATTCAAAGAGGCTCGGGTAAACGGCGGGAGTAACTATAACTGCTCCTTTAGGATAGTAATCATTTACCCAGTCTTATGATCCCCTGTCACTGCCCCAGCTCCCCCTCGTCACCTCCAGTAGCAGGGATAGAGAGAGAGAGGGGGGGGCAAGTGCCTCCATGGGAGGGGGGAGGCGTGATAGTCTCCCCACTGGGGTTCCCCCGTAGTGGGGGGGGGCGGATCCTCCCCAGCTTTATCTCCTATTTTAATAACACAGGAAAGCCATATTTGGATTCGTTTTATTTGTTTTGTGTTTTCCGCTACATTTATAAGCGTTTGTGTGTGTGTGTGTGTGTGTGTGTGTGTGTGTGTGTGTGTGTGTGTGTGTGTGTGTGTGTGTGTGTGTGTGTGTGTGTGTGTGTGTGTGTGTCGAGCTTCTGAATGGTCGCCCCCCCCCCCTCGCTCCACCCGCCCCCCCCCCAAGCCAACACTTTATTGATGACCAGACCACACACTAGAAATTGAAGGGACGACGACGTTTCGGTCCGTCCTGGACCATTCTCAAGTCGATCGACTTGAGAATGGTCCAGGACGGACCGAAACGTCGTCGTCCCTTCAATTTCTAGTGTGTGGTCTGGTCAACATACTTCAGCCCCGTTATTGTGACTCATCGCCTGCAACACTTTGTATAAAGTTCTGCTGCAGTGTTAAAGTTGTGTTCATATACTGCAAAGTTTTTGTTAAGTGTGTGTGTGTGTGTGTGTATTCACCTACTTGTGCTTGCGGGGGTTGAGCTCTGCTCTTTCGGCCCACCTCTCAACTGTCAATCAATCACCTGCTTGATGGGGTTCTGGGAGTTCTTCTACCCACCCAAGCCCGGCCCGAGGCCAGGCTTGACTTGGGAGAGTTTAGTCCACCAGGCTGTTGCTTGGAGCGGCCCGCAGGATCCAACTGTTACTAACTACTTTTCACACACACGCGCGCGCACACACACACACACACACACACACAACACACACACACACACACACACACACACACACACACACACACACACACACACACACACACACACACACACACACACACACACACACACACACACACACACACACACACACACACACACACAAATAAAAACATGTGAAGGAAGACACAAAGGAAAGAGGAGGGGATGCACCGAGCCTATTAGACCTGATTTTTACCCAGAACATAGAAGATATCGAGAATTTGGAGCATGAAATACCTCTAGGGGTCAGTGACCATTGTGTCCTAGTCTTTGACTACATGATGGAATTCAAACTTGTGTCCATGGGACAAGAGGTCTGAGAAAGGAGAGTTGACTACAGGAAAGGGGACCATAGGAAGATAAGGGCTAAACTATCATCTGGGAGAAGTGCAGTGGGAGGAAAAAATTAGAGGAAAAACAGTCCAAGATATGATGGACCTAGTCATACAGAAATGCCAGGCGGCCGAAGAGAGATTTATACCAACAGTAAAGGGAAAAAATAAGAGGGAATATAATAACCCATGGTTTAATAGACAGTGTCAGGAAGCAAAAATGGCCAGCAGGCGGGAGTGGAGGAAGTACAGAAGACAAAGGACAGAGGACAACAGGATCAGATGCAACAGAGCTAGGAACGATTACATTAACATAAGACGAACATCGGAAAGGGACTATGAGAACGATATTGCGATCAAAGCGAAAAAGCAAAGAACAAGGAGCAAAATTGAACAAGAAGCGACCAATGTTGTACAAGTATATTGGTGGGTTGTGACACCACAGGCAGAGAGTCTCTCTTAATTCTCAACTTGAGATATAACCGGGAACTGTTGGCTAGAATTAGGGACAACAACAATGTTGTGCTCAAGCAGGTAGCACGTAGCAGTATATCAGGTATCATGTATCAGTGTAGCAGGTATCATGAAGGGGAGGGGAAGGACACATGGGCAGAAGAGATCAGTAGCAAATTCAGCAGCACACTGAGTTTAGTGTGTGACCTACGAGGGAGACTGGCTGGGTGGAGATGTGAGCAACCCTCCCTCACACTAGGTCACCCGCCACCCCGTCCTCCTAAGGTTTCCCCAACGTCAAGAAAACGGTCAACTTAAAGTTCCATTATCCTAACCTACCAGAGGACCCAAAACAGAAAATGGGACAGTACGTCACTTTGGCCAGCCGCCTCCATTTTCTAGTACAATTTTTTTTGGCCTTATATAATACATACGAGCGAAAAGCGACGTTCTGTGTTAGAGGACAGGCTGCTCCTGCAGCAGCGGAGATTGTAGGTCGCCTGCAGCAGCTACCTTTTATTATGTTGTTGCACAGGCGCGATCTAAGTGAGCAGTTAGCGAGGTGTTGGGAGCGGTGACGCCGGTGTTGGGAGCGGTGACGCCGGTGTTGTACAGAGGCGGTGACAGCGGTGTTGGGCAGGAGGTGCCTGCTGGTGTTGACAGAGGTAGCCAGATCCGGGGCCTCTGCTGTTATCATCTAGTCCACACCAGTAGAGGGAGACGAGGCCCTTGACCGTGTCCTCAAGGTGTACCTGGACCCGCTAGTTAAGACACGCTTAGTGAGAAGCGATAATAGGAAATGTTGTATCTCCCCCCCCCCCCTCTCCCCCTGTCCTGCTTTCCGCTCATTTCTTGTTATATTCGCATTTAGACTTTGGGTAAAATTGGTCTGGCTTCCTGTGGGGGAGGGGGGTGTCAGTCGTGTTGTGGCCTCGTGTAAGTAATCTCATTAGTCTGTCACAGTTAGATGTCCCTTCCCAGTCACCACCAGTAGCCCCTACCACCACTACCACCCGCAGTCATCACCAGTAGCCCCTACCACCACTACCACCCGCGGTCACTACCAGTAGCCCCTACCACCACTACCACCCGCGGTCATCACCAGTAGCCCCTACCACCACTACCACCCGCGGTCACTACCAGTAGCCCCTACCACCACTACCACCCGCGGTCATCACCAGTAGCCCCTACCACCACTACCACCCGCGGTCATCACCAGTAGCCCCTACCACCACTACCACCCGCGGTCATCACCAGTAGCCCCTACCACCACTACCACCCGCGGTCATCACCAGTAGCCCCTACCACCACTACCACCCGCGGTCATCACCAGTAGCCCCTACCACCACTACCACCCGCGGTCACTACCAGTAGCCCCTACCACTACCACCATCCGCGGCCCGTTTCAACCTGTCCTCTTAAAAAGGAAAGTCGCTTTTGGCCGTATGGCCGAATATGGACGTAATTTCAAAATGAAAAAAAAATTACAATAAATTTGGGATTTTTTTTCAACAACAGTAAGTTAAGGGTCCTCTGATAGGTTAGGTGGGCAGGAAATTCTCATTAAGTTTCAAAACGGTATGAAAAACGTTAATGAAAAGTTTCCTCTTCTAAGCTTACCGAGTAAGCCGGGCGACTTTCAAACAGAAAACGGAACAGTACGTCACTTTTGTGAGTCGATTTCATTTCAAATTACTTCCTAATTTGGCCATATCGCGCATACGAGCGAAAAGTGACGATATTTTTAAGAGGACGGGTTGCACCGCCAGTAGCCGGAAGATTCACACGCTGCCGGTGTTGGGATGTGGATAGTGTGTGTGTACGTCAGCGAGCGCATCCACTTCCCGCGTGGAAGCTTGGGGATAATAATACGTGCGTAATGCGACACACACACACACGAACGCAGGCAAGTGTTTTTGCTGCCGGCACAGGAAGCGCCTCCGTCCTCTCGTGTGGTGGAGGTCTATTTTAAGGCTGACAGCTGGGGTTCCCTGGGGTACTGTTCTTCCTCCGGTACTCTTTCCCTGTTCTCATATCAGACACAGACGAGGCGAGGTGTGCCGTGTTATCCCTGGCTGTAAGATTTATGAGCGATTTGATTGTTGCCGTCCGAGGCGGCTAGTTTATTGTGCACCTCATACTCATCCTGTGAGCGGTAGCGCAATAAGGATTACAGACGGTACAAAAGGTCTTGTATCAGACCTCGATCTCCTTAGCGCCTTATTTTGTACTGCTTGCAGTTTCTGCATGTTAGTTTTCTTTAAGGTGTGTAGTGGTACTGGGGGATACTCTAGATGTGGCCGAACTAGAGCCTTATATAGGTGGATCTGAATGTTAGTACTGAGGCTTCGGAATCTCCTCAGTTTTCCTAAGGCTGATTTGGCTTTGTTTAGTCGGTCCCTTACATGAATTTTTATCCCTGTTCTATTGATCATGAGTCCCAGTATTCTGCCTACCTCCGCATATTGGATCGGGCGGTTGTCAAGGATAATGGAGTCTGGGTTTCTTTTTGCAATGTGTATTATCTGGAACTTTTGTTAGTGCTATTTTCCATTTTTTCTCAAAGGTGTTTGAGTTCAATTGCCGCCTTGGCCTTGTCGGCTAGTAGCGGCTTTGATGGTCCCGGTTGGCATATTATTTGGGTGACATCGTCAGCGTATGTGATGTATTCTCCATGTTGGGGTAGGTCAGCTGTATATATGTTGAATAGAGTGGGGGAGAGGCAGCTTCCTTGTGGTACTCCACTTTTCAGTTCTATTACGTCACCCAAGTAGCTGCCGATATTAAGCCTAGCAGTTCTGTTGTCTATAAAGCTGCAGAGAGTAGCAGTAAATCTCTCAGGAAGTCCTAGTTCAGATATCTTATATTTTAGGCCTGTGTGCCACACTTTGTCGAAGGCTTTCGAGACGTCCCTAAGCACTATATTAAACTGATCTTTTTTCGACACTGCGTTGGCTATATGCTGGTAGATCAGGGCTATAGCTGTATGGGCCCCTCTGCTATATGCTGGTAGATCAGGGCTATAGCTGTATGGGCCCCTCTGCTATAT